GGCAAAATCGACATTGATGGCACGGATGTGTCGCCGTCCGGTCGCGGGCCGGCACCTGCGCCCACGACCGACGAACGGCTGGACTGGTTCAGGGGCGGGCTGAAGCGCTTTCCCGACACGATCGCTGGCAAGGGGCTGGGCACCTCTCGTGTGATTGCGCAGGGCGAGTACCTGGACCTCCTTGAGGGAACGGCAGGGCCGGGGCTCTCTGACAGCACCCGATCGCTGGCGGGAAGCGCCAGCCAGCCTGACCTGTAAGCCACAGGCCTTCCTTGATTCGATGGTGCTTGAAGAGCAGGTCGCCGGTCACCTCTGCGACCCCCATGTCAACCATCATCTGTCATGTCAGCACAGACAGGTGTACACATTCCTGACTGGCGCCAGGTAGGTCACTGATAGCGTGTCACTCACCTTTGGCTCTGTGGCTGTCAAGTGCCGTATGGCGCTAGCAAAGGCCGTGTTGACACTGGAGGTGAAGCCTGAGCTGATTTTGTACTTGTGGTCACTCTTCAACTCGCCGTGCTTCATCGTCGCTATGATCGTGTCCGCGAAGCCCGCCTCAACAACTATTCCAGTGAAACCACCATCTACACACACAAAAACATACACAGACAGAAAGAGAGAGAGAGAAATGCGTGGTCGCCAATGAGACAAGGAGTGGAATGGCCCGTCTTTCGCTAACCCACCCATGAGCGCTAGTGGAAGGAAGACCGACAAGTACGTCAGAGATTCGGCGGCTGCATCGCTCTCACACTGAACAGGCGACTCTGTCAGCCCTGTCCTGAGCGACTCTGCGATGGTCCTGATCAAGGGGCAGACAGACAGACAGACAGACAGTCCGACGCACTCATCCATCCATCCATCCATCCAGAAGTGTGTGTCTTGCCTAAGGGCTCGCGGCTCCGCTAGCAGCCGTTCACAGGGGCCGCCACGCGAGCTCATACACTGCTCCAACCAGGGGGTCGGTTCACCTACGGCTGAACGAACAAAAGCAGAGCAGACAAAGGAGAGGGAAAAGGTGTTTGTGAAAGCAGTTAACACATCGGGCACTTGTGTGTTACCGTATGGAATCTTCGCATAGCAGAACATCAGAGAGATGCAGAGCGAAGCCCGCCACCTGAGGCTGGGCGTCGCCTCATCGCTCGTGAGGATCGCCATGATGGGACCGACGCGGGAGTACACACACTCGGACATCACGGCGCAGATCTCGTCCTCCAGGCCGTCACGCATATCTGCCACACGCAGGCAGAGAAGCGATCCACCTTCCGTCTCCCCCTTCACAGACACATTCCCTTCTTACGCTTCCTGCGTGTCTCGCTGACTGAGGCTACGATAAGCATGTGAAGCTTGGCGACATAGAGGAATAGGTCAGGCCTAATGGATGCACCATGCAGCAGCGCGTCGTATAGGCAGTTGATGAGGGCCGCCCAAGTGGCAGGCGGCGTCGAGAAGTCCGAGTAGAGGGCCTGTGCCGGGGAACACATAATTTCTTGGTCAACTTCTCTCTCAACTTCTCTCTCTCCTACCTGGACGAACTCTTCCTTGTCCTCAATGCCGGGGGCGCCGGGGGTCCACGAGACGGGGCCCACCACACACTGCTGCACGAAGCCGTAGTGGTTGGTGAGCAGGCAGTCACGTACACCGCGACTGATGCTCTCCCTCAGCAGCCGATTGAGAATGCCGAGGACGATCTTCTCGGCGAGCCAGTCGCCACGAGCGGCACTGCTGGTGGCCAGCATGGCCACCAGACTCTCCACGACACCATCATGAGCTGCAAGGGCCACCGTGGTGAGCCACTCGTCAAGCATCGAGAATGACACCATGCTGTCCCCCAAGCGCGGCGCCTTCTTCACGCCTCCTACACGCGCCGCCAGACTGAACAGACACGACTGTGTGGTCTTGCCAAAGTCGGAGGCACCGGGGAGTGCAAGAGTCCCAAGCAGCGTCCGGAATGCTCTCGGATACGCAGCGAAAGACCTCCGTATCTCGCCCCCTGCGCCGACCGAGTTGTGATACTCGGAGAGGGCCCGGAGGCTGCTGTTCCTGAGCTGCTCACTCTCGCTCATGAGGCCCTCCATCACGGCCCTCAACGGCGGCAGGTCTTCCGAAGAGGCCGCCGTCATCTCCTGCACGTCAGCAATGAACCATCCGTAGAAAGAATGCAATTTGCGCTTGCGTCCTCTCTGCCTCTCCTCACGTACGTGTGTGTCTGTCAGTGGCCAGCCAACGAACGGGGTGATCTCATGGCTCTCAGATCCCTGTGCCAACGGTTGGTTGATCAAAGCAGCGGTGGCCACGACATCTACTGGCCCTCTGATCCCTGCAAGCCAACATGCACAACGAATGGAGCAAGAAATGAAGAGATGCAGCTGGGGCGCTGTCATTCATCTGGTGTTTCGCTTGCGGCTGCGCTTACGTTCCTTTGCCTCATCAGTTCGGCTCTATTCGCCTCTTGAACGAACGATTTTTGCAGATCCACGGCTCGAAGGTTCAGTGACAGCTGTGACGCACGCAGACTACGGCAACACCCGAAAAAGCCGGAGCGATCCCATCAAAGCTGCGAGCTAAGAAGAGGTAGCTGTTCCGCTACAGATGATTCGTCCCGGATCTGCGCTGGTCAAGGGCGGCAAGCCCAGGAGAACGCCACCCGGAGCCGCTGGACAGATTCTCACCGCCGGCAAAAAGGTATTGAAGCATTGAATTCATCCATCGAGAAACCACCCACATGCAAATCCATGTCTGTGTGCATCGCGCCGTCTTGATGTTGGCTGCTCAGACGGATGTGAAGAAGCCCGAGCTGTTGGAGTTCATCGAGCGTCATGACTACACGGGCGCCACGACGCTGCTGGAGTTCGAGAGGAAGGCACGTGAGGAGCGGCCCAACGCGCTGCTGTGGCTGGGGTACGCCGCCTTCCACAATGGCGACTACCGCAAGGCACTCGACGCCTATGATGAGTACCTCAGGTGAACTCATGAATGAGCATGTGCCTGTCCGTGGATGGATGGATGGACAGATGGGCACCTGCATCTCTCCCTCTCTCCCTTTCTCTCTGTTTCTTTGTTTCTCCGTCTGCCCATATCTTTCCCCTCGTGCAGGTCGCCGTCTTTGCATCAGCAGAGGGCAGCCGGCGATGTGCACGTGTACCGCGGCTGCTGTCTGTACGCCCTCTACCGGTACAAGGAGGCCGAGGAGGCCGCCAAGAAGGGCACCGAGGGCTCACTGCGGACACGGCTCTTGTTCCACATCGCACACAAAGCCAACGACGAGAAGAAAATGGTGCGCGCACGGTGATGACTGACAGAGAGAGAGAGAGAGAGGGAGAGAGAAAGAGAAAGGGAGAGGGGGGGTTGTGTCTGTATGGGTGTAGGTTGAGCTGCATCGTCAGCTGCAGAGCAGCACGGAGGATCAGCTGTGCCTGGCGGCCATTCAGTACCTCAGGAACCACTACCAGGTAGGTGCCTCTCACACACACATATCGATGGATGGATGGATGGATGGAGGGCTGGATGTGGTTTATGTTGTGTGTGTCTAGGAGGCGACTGAGATCTACAAGCGTCTGTTGATGGAGAACCGGGACCACCTGGCGCTCAACGTGTACGTGGCCTTGTGCTACTACAAGCTCGACTACTTCGACGTCGCTCTAGAGATACTTCACTCATACACACAGGCAGGACAGGCACCCAACCAACACCGACCCGACATAACATGGCAGACAGACACGGATGGATGGATGGATGGATGAGTTTCATCCATTCTCGTTGATCTGTCTGTCCGTCTATCTGAGTGCAGGTGCACAGCGATTCCATCACGGGCATCAACCTCAAGGCCTGCTGCCACTTCCAACTCTACAACGGCAAAGCAGCCGAACAGGAACTCAAAGTGAGCGCATCTCTGGACAGCCAAACCCCCCACCCATCCCTCTCTCCCTCTCTGTCAGGCGTTGTCGAATGCAGCAGAGGCGGGGACGGTCCTGCAGGACAGCGACATACTCAGGTGTGCAATCGTGTACGGCTGCGGATGGATGGATGTCTGGATGGATGGATGGATGGACACGTGTGTCTTTGTGCCCACCATGAATGTATGTGCGTAGGCACAATTTGGTGGTGTTTCGCAACGGCGACAATGCGCTGCAGGTGCTGCCCGCGCTCGTAGACGTCATACCTGAGGCACGGTGGGCACACGGACAGGCAGACAGACAGACAGACAGGCAGACAGACATCCGTGTAGACGTGTATCATTCATAGGATATGGATGGAGGGATGGGTGGGGTGCAGGTTGAATTTGGTGATATATTACCTGCGGACAGAGGAGTACCAGGAGGCCTTCCAGCTGCTCAAAGACATGGAACCAAACATACCCAGGTACGTAGGGACGTGCCCGGGTGCCTGCACGCATCCATCCATCCATCCATCCATCATAAGACACCTGAACACATGTATGTATGTGTTGGCTGGACCGCTGTATATAATCGATGGCAGGGAGTATGTGCTCAAGGGCGTGGTGTACGCCGCCCTCGGCCAGAAGAACGAATCACGGGAATACATACGACTCGCACAACAGGCACGCCACACACACATCCGTCATGCCATCCATCATGCCATCCGTCCGGCCCAATGAATCATTTGACCCACCGCGCACTGATACGTATCTGTCTGTCTGTCTGTCTGTTGCATGCATGTGTCACTCAGTTGTTTCAACTGGTGGGTGCGGCGGCGACAGAGTGCGACACGATCCCCGGCCGGCAGTGCATGGCTTCGTGCTTCTTCCTACTCAAACAATTCGACGACGTCCTGGTACGCGCAGCCGTCCGCCCACCCACAGCCCCACAGACCAGACCCACAGTCATGTGTCTGGCCAGACACACATCACATAGACGCGCCCGCCTGTCTGTCTGTCCTGATTGATGTCTGTCTGTGTGCACGTGGCCTTGTCCATCCATCCATCTGTGTGCTGTGTGTGTGTAGGTCTATCTGCGTTCGATCCGCGGCTACTTCACCAATGACGACGACTTCCACTGGAACTTCGGCATTGCGTGTGCGGCGGCTGGCGAGTACAAGGAGGCCAAGGACAGCCTCATGGCCGTTCAGTCCGACAAGTGAGTGAGTGAGTGAGCAAACTGGCACAGCACATCCATGGGGGGGGATTGACGTGCGGGGTGCTTTGGCTCCTTTCGTGTTGTTGGCTGCCAGGTATCGCAGTGAGTTCTGCTACGTGAGCTGGGTGTGTCGGTGCCACATCATGTGCGGGGAGCCACAGATGGCCTGGGAGGTAGGTCAGCCAAGCAGTCCAGTCAGCACACCACCAACACCACCAACACCACACCCACTAAATGGGTTCATAGATAGATGGAAGTATGGCTGGCTGGATGCAGACGTATTCCCGCTTGGAGGGTTCGAGCGACGCCTTCAACCTGCTGACCATCATTGCCAACGACTGCTACAAAATGGGACAGTTCTACTGGTCTTGCAGGGTGAGTCAGTGAGTGAGTGAGTGAGTGAGCACCACGGTTGGTGCCCAATCAACACACGCATTGTTTGTGGCTCTGTTTCCTCCGTTCTGTTCTGCTGTCCGTCCGTCAGGCGTTCGACGTGTTGGAGCGGTTGGATGCGGACCCCGAGTATTGGGATGGCAAGAGGGGCGCCGCTGTGGGCGTCTTCCAACAGGTCATTGCCGGCAGGTAGCTACATCAATGACATGACCAAATACACACCAACGAACGAACGAACACCCATACGAGCAGAAGGCGCGTACCAAACGGTGACCTCTCTCTCTGTGTCTGCGTGTTGTGTTGTGATGCACACATAGGGAGACGCCAGAGCGTCTGCAGGAGGTGGTGTCTCTGCTGCGGTCCACAAACAATCCTCAGGTAAAACGGACTTATACATATTCCTCGGCCCATCCATCCATCCATCCATCCATCCATCCATCCATCGGTGGGCGATGTGTGTGTGGTGCACTGCCGTGTGGTGCCGTCTTAGGTGGAGTACATGATCAACAAGGTGATCAAGAAGTGGGCCAAGGAGAACCGAGTCAACCTCGACCTAGACTAGCTGATAATGTATGTATGTGGTCACATGCCATGCGCACCCATACCATACATGGGTGTGGAGGCAGACAGACAGACAGAGCAGCCGTGTGTATGTGTTTCGACGGGTCAATCGACCACTCTCTCTCTCTCTCTCTCTCTCTGTGCTGCGTGTGTGCAGTAGATCCCTCTAATTATGTGTGCTTGTCTGTGTACAGGCGTCTAAATGTGTGGGTGCCGGTGCTGTGTGGTGTGTTGATAGATGGATCACCGACCTGCCGCTTGACTCATCTCAACCCTCGTTGTTGGTGGACGGGCATTCCGTTAAACAGATTCTCAACAAATGATCAAGCTTGCAAATGATCTCGCCGCCAGAGTGGAGAAGAAGCAGGTCTCTCAGCAGGTTGAATAGACGATGAGCGTGCATTACAAACCAGCGGCGAACGGCCTCCACGTCGGCCCACATCTCCCTACATCCCATCAATTGCATCCCGTTGACCTCCCATTGCCAGCCAACGACATGATGGACATTGAGCCGCTCAGCCTGGACGAAGCCTCAATCGATGACGTCGTGGCCCTTGCTGATGGACATCGAGACGAGAAACAGGAGAATATCGACCACGGTTCGATGCGCGAGGCGGTGGACGGCTGCGACGAGGCCCCATCAGAGTCTCCCGTCCTTGGCGACGTTTCGCTCCTCACGGAAGACTTCTTAGTCCGACGCGGTCCGGGGGGGACAGCGAGGAGGGAAGAGAAGTTTGCCTACGAGGAGTTTTCCGCTGCCTACGAGACGCGAGTCAACGACAGCGGGGAGGTCGAGGAGAAGTTCGTTGCTACGACCCCATTCACACCAGAGCCCTTCATCAAGACGATGCAGCGGGTAGCACGGGTTTTGCTGTGTCAATTCTTCAGTGCAGTGGGGTTTGCAGCCGCCTGGTCGCTGTTTTGCGTGGGTGTCTGGCAGACTTGTGAGTACCACATGTCAGTCCCTGGGTGGATCGTGCTCGACGGACTCCGACTCTTGCTGCCAGCGGTTTGCTACAGTGGCATCTTATTCCTGATGGCTGAAGGAGATGTCAGCAGAGCCATGCGGCGCTTCCGGACCGCATGGTGGCTCCCCGTGTGTATCATACTGCTGCAATCTCTGAGAATCGTATTCCATTATGTGGACGCAATTGATTCCATAGTGAGGAAGCTCACATTCTTTGCGGCTTGGTCAGTCTTCGCTGTGCTCGTGCCGTTCGTTTTCTTTCGCTGGACCGCCCACTGGAGGAAGGAGACTGTGCGGAAGACAGTCTACGCTTTGCAGCTGACATTAATGAATGCGAGCAGCTGCACAGTCTCGGCGATCATCCAGTGGTGGGTCTTCTTACCGCTCGGCGCACGAGTGGCGACCGACGGCGAGAGGACGCGCCTTGTGGTGGTCTTCTTGCTTGCCCTATCGCCGCTGGCTGGCCTAAGTACGTGATACATTCGTATGTTGCAATGACGTGCATTTCTGCGGGATGGCCTGTTTATGATTTTCCATCAGTGGGCTGGGCAAATCGTGCCGTACGCGAAGGGCCAGTTTTGACTACAGCACCAAGTCTCGCCTTTGCAGCCGTAGCCTTCTCGCTGTTTCCTCGGTAACAAACGAGTTGGGGAGAATGGAGGATTGCCATATCGCTGCAGCCTTTCGATGTGGGGCGGATGGCAGAATGGTACAATCAAAGATGAGCACTCTCTCTGCGGCCCAGATTCTGACATCATTCATGTACAGTAGGCACCTGCTACAATGCAAGCTTTGCAATCAATGTGTTGGATATCAATCCTCAGGTTCGGCTGCTTCGACCTCGCCACAGACGTCACCATACCCTATGGTCAATCAAAAGCAAGTCTGAAATTCAGTCTGCCTACTGCATACCAGACTATGTCTCCTTGTTTCTCTTCTCGATACGGGCAGGCGTCCTTGTGGGTGGCGCGTGCAGAAAACTCTTCTCGCGACTGATGAGCAGGCAGAGGATTCGCGAGCACCACTGTGATGCTATCGATGCCATTGACGTCAGAGACACTGAGGAATCTGTCGTGAATGACACCAGCCCCGACAAGTCAGCTTGTCAGCTCAGCAATCTTTCCACTACGGTGACAGAATCCCCTCGTCAGCTCAAGAAGGCTTCCGATCGTCTTCGGCACACCTTCAGCCGCTCGTCGTTCGCATCACAGCTCAGCGCCATACTAGACGCGCAATCCAAATTGCGTCTGACATTCCATCCAATATTCCTTCGCCGGCTCAGCGACGTGAGCATTTGGGCTGTGGAGAAATAAGGCCAAGAGACATATACACTCTGCCCCTGTCTCCGCGTTGCAGCAAGTGCATTTGTACGGCCTGGCGGAACTGACTGCACTGGTCGGTACTGTTGGCGGAATGTACGTAGCAAAGTGGAACACTCCCGGACTGTTTTGGTTTGCAGGTCTTCTCCAATTTGTGCTCCATTATCTTCGAGCAGGTAGGTGTGTGTGATGGGCAATGCGTCCGGTCGAATATACGTATGTATGTATTTTGTGATGCAGATGCTACATCCATCTGGCGAGCGCCTGGCAGAGAGGGTCGCTGGCCTGGCGGTTCTTGTGCTCATCGAAATGGGCCTCGAATTCCTTCTCTTCTGTGTGAGTACCACTTGATGGCTCATACACAAGGCAGCCGACGTGTATCATGTCTCTCTCTCTCTTTTTGTGGCCTGGCTATACGCCTGTCTGTCTGTATGTATGTCTGTATGTCTGTATGTATGTGTGCAGTACCTAATTCGCTTCACCAAGTAAGAGACACAAACAGAAGCTCTTGCCTTCAGATATATAAGAGTTCTTTCTGTGTGGGATTGTGTAGCCTGCCTTTGTGCAAGAGTGAGAGCGAGCCAAATGCGGTAAGAATACGACTGCTGGCCATGGCGGTCGGCGGCAGTTTATGCGTCTTGCACGGGGCGGCCTATATCAATATGTTTGTCTTGCGGTCTCTCGGTGAGACATACCGACATATGACTGTTAGGGAATTCTGCCCTCACGACTCTTTCATTAGGGAGGCTTATGAGTGGCACAGGTAGCAGAAATGCGACACATGAGGGCCGCCACCACCGCCTGCAGCTGCTGCAGGGGCCGGTGCGTCACTGCTGTTGCTGCTAGGACCGGGGAGCTACTTGAGCGGAGCAAATCCGTCTGTCAGCTTTGTGTGGGGGGCTTGAGATGTTGGCTGTAAGGCTCATTTTTTCTTCTTTTGCCGCTCGCTCCCTCTCTGCGGTTTGTCCATGCATGGCCACGGAGGCGTATCAGCGCCCCTTCACCGAGTGTGAAGTGAGTTTAAAGAACTGTGAGTCAAGTGACACATATGACGCGTAGACGAGACACAATAGTTACTTGGCGCATCGTACACGCGATTGACGCGATGCGAGTGGAATATGAAGAATGTGCCACACGTGCATCACTCATGCGCTTTTTGCGATGTGCAGCGGAGACATTCGGCCCGCCACTCAGGAAGAAATTGCTGAAGGAGCACACTGATGTTAGTATGTCTGCTTGCGTCTGTCTCTCTGTGTGACCGTCTCTCTGCCCGTCTGTCTGTCTCTGTCTGCCAGGCTTTGTTTCGGCCGATATGGCAGCCATCTTTCTTGTCTCCTGCACACCCAGTGTGTGCGCAGTAGGTCGGTGCGCAGTCATGGCAAATAAGGATGAGTAAGTGGTGGGTGGGGAATGAGTGAGGATGCCATATATTTGCAAGGTGCTCGGCACTTTTTCAATGTGCCTGGAGAGACAACTTTGTGTGTGTCGTTCACGGGTCAAAGCGCATTTATGTTATGCAAAACACGCGTCGCGTCCGTGAGTGAGCGAGCAATGAGTGAATGATACATTCCCACATAATCGATATCTAGAGGAAAAAAGTGCGGCAGCAATAGGCAACGGGGCAGGCAGGCAGGCAACTTGAAGTCACTCACCGACCCACCCACCCATCATCCCACCCCCCATTGGTCCATCCATCCATCCATCCCAGCATCAGTCGACAAATACATACCCTCGGCTCATTCTTCATCCTTGCCCCCACCACGCAGTCTCTCTCCCCGCCACTGTCAGATGCACACACAGATGCCCCACACACCACACACCGTTCCATCCCGCTCCCCCTGTGGTCTGGTCTCTCTCTGTCTTCATGTCACAGATCACATCCGAATGCCGAACTCTATGTCGCCTAGCCTGGCGACCTCTCGTGCGAGGGTCTCCGGCACATGGATGGCGTTCAGGTGAGTCGTGAACTCACTCTCGTCCGTGAGCACCTCCCTCAGTCGCCCCAGCAGCCGTCGCGTCTCGTCCAGCCCCTCACACCGCACCAGCGTCGGCTGCAGCATCTTGCATATCGCCACGGCCGTCACGAACAGGGTCACCTCTCCGTCCAGAAAGAACGTGTCCCACACGATACTCGCCAGGTCCAATGGCAGCACTTTGGCGTAGAGGGTCAAGAACCACTCGAGCAGAAACATCTCCACAGACAGGTCGATGGCCTCCCAGTGGCGGTGCAGATCGGGAAGGTTGGCGTACAGCAGCGAAGCGAAGATGCGGTAACGGCGCGACAGGTGGGCGGGGTCCATCTGGTAGAGGCCCAGCAACGACGGCCGGTTGAGCAGGTTGCACAGGCAGATGAAGGCCGGCAGCGGCTGCATGAAGATCAGCAGCATCGCTGCCAAATAAGACATCCCCTGCACGTACCCAATGTCCGGCCTGATGGACACATCATCACAACACAACACAACACAAAACAGAGAGAGAGTCTCCCCAACCACTCACACCCCAGTCCATGCACACGTCAGGCACCGCACTCACCTGTAGAATGTCCAGGCCTCCAGGATGTCCCTGCAGTGGTCGTGCAGCGGCCCCGTCTGGTGGAAAAAGGCCAGCGTGGGAAAGGTCCGCGGCAGGTCGAATGGGATGCAGTGAATCGACGCCTCCTTCCCCCCGCCGCCCCCGCGGCTCATCACCACCAGCCCCTCCCCCTCCCCCTCACCATCCCGCGCACGCACACGCGCCCGCCTGGCCTTCTGCAAATGGATGTCGAACAACTCTGGGGTGATTCGCAGAGCGTTGCCGAGTGCCAGTGGCCACACGATCTCGCGGATCTTGGGAGGGAGGCCCTGCCGCCAGAAACGGTCCATCCGAGGGGATGGCCGGGTGCCTGGCGTCCAGGTGGGCAGGAGCTCTTGGAGCCAGACGGTCGTGTGCCGCGTCAGCCGCAGCTCCTTCTTGTCCTCGGCCTGCTGCTTCATCGCACTGCAGACAGATAGACAGACAGACAGAAAGACAGAGCGGAATGTTCTGTGTCTTTCTTCGGGCGGGTGCAAATGCCGGCTGGTTGTGTGCACCGTGAGTGCGTGCACTGACCGTTCTCTGGCCTCTAGTTGCAGCTGTGCCTTGTACCTTCGTTCGACCTCCTGCACCTCCTTCATGTGCTTGACCGCCTCACGCGACGGCTTAGGCGGCAAATTCGGAGGCCTGCACAGAGAAAACACAACACAACACAGACAGATCACGCACACGCACAAGTCGCCTGCCCCCAGACACCAAGATGGCTTTGTCTCTTGGCCTCTCCTCTCCCTCGCCCCTCACCTGAAGGTCTCATATCCGTCGAGCCCCTTCATAGCGCTCTCCTCCAGCCCCCCACCGATGCCCTGCTGCTGCTGCTGCTGCTGCTGGCCGGCGGCGGGCGTTGGGAACACGCCGCCTCCCCTCGGCTGCTCGCCAACCGCCAGTAGGAAGGGCGGCGACGGCACGCGCTGCGTGTCGTCAGATCCGGGGTGGTTGGGGCTCGGCGGACATGCAGATGGGGGCAGCGAGGGCGACATAGAGTCGGCCACCAGCACGGTTGGCAGGGAGTCCGACCTGGTGCATGAGGGGGAGGGGTCCTGCTGGTGATGGGCGTGGGGGTGGTACGGGGGCTGTTGCTGCCTCTTCGCCGCGGCCTCGGCTGCTCTCGTGAGGAGAGACTTGCGCGGGGGGTACTGGTGGAGGCCCAAAGGGATCGGCCGCAGCTCGTGGCCGTCAGACTCCCTCTCGTTGTCGGACGAACAGCACATGGCGTGGGGGCCCACCTGGGAGTCAGAGTACATCCGTCTCGCCGTCACTTCACGCTTGCTGCCCGAGTGAGAGTGGTGGTGGTGGTGCTGGTTCCTCCTTGTGTGTCCTCTGTGCTGCAGCCCGTTGTGTCTCTCTATGGCGTCGCCATCGTCAGAAGTGTCCTCCTCGCCGATAGAGAAGAACCCATCAGAGTCCTCCCCTCCCTCATCTCCCTCGCTCCCACTCGACGACTGCGGTGTCGTGTAGGCCTTCTCATCAGCCGCCGGCCTCTGCGGCCGGGGGGACGCCCCAGGGCTGCTGGCCGCCGTCAGGAGATCCTCATCGCTGCTTTGAGTGGATACCGTCACCATCACATAGTGCGGCCCGCAGGCCAGGTCGGCGATAGTGGAGCCTTCGAAGGACGACAGACGGAAGGGCGGTGCGATGGCGGTCATGGGCTCCCTTCGAGGGTCGGTGAAGAGGTCATACCCCCACACGTACACCGACCCGTCGGCGTAGGCCACCGCCGTGTGGTAGGGGCCGCACGCCGTGTGGCGGAGGCCACCATGCTCCCGGTTCACATCAGCAGAAGAGTCGATGGCCACCTGCACAGGCGATATCGCGCTGTCATGGTCGCTGGGAGGGAGGCCGAGCTGGCCGAGCTGGTTGGACCCGGCAGCGAAGATGCGGCCGTCGGTGAGCAGGAGGACAGTGTGGTCGTACCCACACCGCACCGCCGCTATGCCCACGTTGGCCGCGCCCCTTCCCCCGCCACCACCACCACCACCTGACGGCCATGGCGGCACTGGCCACACACCGCCTGACGGTGTCTTGCTGGCCGTCACGGGATGGAAAGGGTCAGCACGCGGGGTTGACGGCTCTGACGACGGTCCCTGGCTCGACCCCGCCATGGTGGAGGCCTCCGTCTCGTTGACCGTTGCCGCAGACGACTCGCGTCTGTGCCGCTTGAAGCCCAGACGTGGTGGCGGGGGCGGGGGGCGGTGCAGCACCGCGTGGCTGGTCGGCGAGGCGCCGCCGAAAGGACTGCCAGAGTCGTGGTGGTGGGGTGACGACTGCCCCACTACGGTGGCCCTCCACCTCGCAGAGAGGGTCTTGCGCGAGGGTTGTGGATGGTGATGGTGGGGGGGCTGGGTCGACGATACACCCGGTGGCTGTGCGGTGCCGGCACTGTTTGTTGGGCCTGTGAGACGATAGCGGTGGAACGACACCAGCTGCGGCCAGGATTGGGTGGTCTCGGAGGTCTCGTTGAAGAGCCGGCCGTCGAGACCACAGCCCCACGAGTAAAGGTCATCGCGAACCGTCGCTGCAATCCAATCCACCACAACCATGCCATGCGTGATATGTGAGCACCCTGTCTGTCTGTCTGTCTGTCTGTCTGTCGGTGTCTGTCCTCTTTGCTCTTCCTCACCGATACAGTGGTGGAATCCACAGACGACGCTGCGCACCCTCCGGCCGACGAGCGAGTTGAGGACCGTGGGCTTCGACACGCGCTTCTGAAGCACCTCGGGGCCCAGCCCCAGACCACCTGAACCAACGACACAGACAGACAAGACAGCACATCCACTCGATCTATACCTTCCTGCCTGCCTGCCCCGCATTTCTCGGTAACTGACTGACTGACCGTATCGTGACTCGCCCCACGAGAAAACTGCCCCAGTTTCCGACACGGCGAGGGCGAATGTGCCGCCACACGCCACCTGCACTATACTGTGCCGCTGCAGCGACAGCACCGGCTCCCATCCAAAGGCCACGCCGGTCTCCTTCTGGCTGTGGCTGTGGCTGGTGTGGGGTGCCACAGACGGGCTGACGCACGGCGAGGGTGGCTCGGGTGCAGCACCACCACCACTGGCAGGTGACATGTACCTCCACTGGTAGACGTCGCCGGAGCTGAGGACGGCGACGCTCTGGTTGAGGTGGTTGGCCACCTGCCTCACGTGCTTGCCGTACATGGCGCGCAGACGGGCCATGCACCGATCCAAGCTCAAGTGGAACCGGACCGGTGGATCGCCGGTGGCCCAATCCCTCAGCTCCCTCGTGCCAGTGGTGGTGATGGGGGTGGAGGTGGAGCCAACCTCTGAGGAAGCCTCACCATCTGCAATGCCGTTCGCTGTCTGCTGCTGCTGCGGCAGGTCCAGCCACTGGTCGGCTTGTTGGATGCACCAAGAGTAGATGTCGAGTGTCACAGCGCTTTGGCCGAAGTTGACGCCGCCGCAGGATATCCACCGGCAGGGCGGGGAGTCGATGAGCAGAGTGGGCGAGGGGAGGCACAGGGCGCCCAGATGGCCGAAACCATAAGTCAGGTGGGACGCCGGAGGGCCTCTCGTGTCCTGCTGGTGGTGGGGAGGGGCCGAACGGTGCTCCATCGCATCACGAGCTGCTACCTCAGCACATCTTGACAAGCGAACATCTCAATCGCCTCGTCCTTGACCTTTTGCTGCACTCACTGCCCAACTCTCTGGTTCGCAAGCTCAGCTCGCAGATCTTCGCCGAGCTCGCAGACCACACCAGGCTGAACTAGGGAAGAGCCCAGATCAGGGAGCCTAGTGAGTGAGGATCTGCCCCTCTGGCGCCGTCATGTCCTCACCAGCAGCGGCAGCAGCCAATGACGCAGCCCCGCCCCTCCCTCCCCCAGCCGTAGCCCAACCAGCTGATGCAGGTGCGTACAGCAAGGCTTTGGAGGAGAGGCTGCGAGTGGCGGAGCAGGAGGTGGAGAGGCTGCGGCAGCAGCAGAGGGAGCGGGAAATGGTGCACACCAGCGAGGTGCAGCAGCTCATTGCGCAGAACCAGGAGCTGCGCAACGACGCCGCCACATACACCACCGTGGCCAACATGGCAGCCTCGCAGAGGCAGGTTCGATCTATCTAGTCTAGATCCACACCCACATTACACAGACAGGACATGTCATGCACACCTTAGGTGACTCACTGCCTGTCTGTCTGTCTCTATCTCTTTTTCTGTGCCATGCCATTCCATGCCATGCCATGTGTGTGTGATGGCTGGTCGGCTTGGCTTGGCTGTTTGTTTGTTTGATGTATGCAGTCTGAGGAGGTGGAGCGGCTTCAGCGCTTGACAGAGGTGCAGGAGCAGCAGCTACTCGACCTGAGAGAGAAAGTCAGGTGACTGAGTGACGTGACCGGGGTCACACACGTGCACACGAAGGCACAGCCCAACACACAACCACACACGTGGATTGGATGCCTCCACTTGTCTCACGTGTGTGATCAGGTCTCGCGAGGCGGAGTTGCAGACGGCGTGGGGTCGTGTGAGTGCGGCCAACGAGCAGGTGGCGCAGCTGACGCTGGAGGCTGACCAGGCCAAGAAGGAGGCCGTCCGTGCGGCACTCATGGCGCGCGACGAGGGACACCAGATGGAACTCAGGGAACGGCTGGACCGGTGAGCCAGCGGTGCAACCAACACAGACAGACCCATTGAGTTAACAGTCCTTTCCTTTGTGTTGTGTTGTGTATACCATGATCGATGGATCCACTGCTAGTGCTAGCGTGTCAGTGCTTGGCGTGGCCGAGCGGCATCTGCAGGGACGGGAGCTGCAGACACAGCAACTGCTGGTGAGATTGGATTATGAGAGAGATGGTCAAGTGAAACACACCCCGCACGAGGGATGTTGACATACATCTGTTTCTCTCACTCAGTATGAGTTGGACAAGAGGGACAAGATCGTGTCGACGATGCGCAACGAGATGCGCGGCAAGGACGAGGCGCTGCACGCACTCAGACAAGAACTGCAGAAGGCCCACGAGGCACTCGAACTGGTACGCACCAACGACTGACTACATACCCACCCACGTGCAGTGCACGCCACGCGAATGCCGGTCGGTATCTCTATCTTTGTCATGTTGCCTTGCACTGCACACCCACACTGACTGATAGGCGGAGCGCGGCAAGACAGTGACGTCAGAGAAGAGCCGATCCGACGCCGAAGCTATGGTCAGCTGCTGCACACAATCCTCCAAGCATGTGTTGCGTTGCGTGTCGATTCTGCTTTACGCAACCCACATGTATACATCTCTGCTGTCTGTCTGTCTGTCTGCTTTGTTGATCAATCATCCTTTGCCGTCCGTCAGGTTCAGCTGAATGCGGCTCAGCTGCATCAGACGAGGGCACAGGCAGAGGTCCTGCAGGAGCGATGCAGAAAGGTCAGTGAGTGAGTGAGTCAGTAAGGCACCCAACGGCCACGGACAAAAAGCAAAGACGGTCACGTGTCCCTCCCTTCGTGGATCGGTCAGCTGGAGGAGTTGCTGCGCGACAAGGACGACGAGACGCGCAGCTTCCGCACCCAGCTCTGCCAGCGGGACGAGGTCATCGGCAGGCTCAACAGGGACCTCAACGACGCCAAATTCGAACTCTCCGTCAGGGACATGCAAATCAACGAAAGCGAGAAATCGGGAATCAACAGGTAGGCAAGCCAATCAAATCAATGCACTGACTGATTTGAAAGATGGAGAGGGGGAATGGCACGAAAGAGAGAGACATGAAGTGCCCATGTGTGTACGTCTGTCTATCATGTCCATCCATCCATCAGGGAGTCCCACCTGGCGTCCGAGATGCGTCGGCTGCAGGAGAGACACGACAAGACGCTCAAGATGGAGGTGAGTGAGGTGCGTCCGTCTGGAGTCACCCACCCGCACCCCCCTGTGATGTGTCTTCCCGACCCTCTGTGTCGGTTGGTTCAGTGCGAGCGTCGCGAGTCGGTGATCGGCGAAAAGGACGCGGCCATCGCCAAGCTGCAGGAGGCGATGAAGGACATCAACGGACGGCTGGAACGAGCCAACACTGAGGTTCGGACGTGTGTGTGTGACGTGACACCAGATATAGATTGAACGGCCCCATCCATTGGTGCGGTGCCTTTCTTGTTGTTTTGGTACGGTACCTACCTCAGGCGCACCGTTTGTCCATGACGATACAGTCCAAGGAGAGTCAGAATTTGGAGCTGCGGGAGCAGCTGCAGGACATGGAGGCCAAGATGTACGCCACAGACCTGGTAAGTAAGGGACCTGACCCAGCAGGCCTGACTGGCAATCTGCCAGTGGAAGGGTGGGCACCTTTTGGTAGGGCCTCGCCTTCATCTCTGTCTGTCTGTCTGTCTGTCTGTCTGTGTCTTTTGCCGTTTATTTATGTCGGTCTGTCTGTCAGACGAACGAGTTGGAGCTGACGCGCCAGACGGAGTCCGAGCTCAGGCGAAAACTCAGAGAGGAACGGGTGGGTGGGTGGGGTACCCATCCATACCACACGACGCACATCAATTGTGTTATGCCGTCTTTCTGTCGCAGGAGCGCAATGAGGTTCTCAAAGAGGACAGCCGCCTCCTGCAAAAGGCACGCACACACACACACACACACAGAGATGAATGCAGTCCATCCAGGCAAAGCCAAGCCCTCGTGTGGTGTGGTGTGTTGTGTCCTTTCTTCTCATTGTGCAGGCTCGTCACGACTACTCGGGGTTGCAGAGTGAGTTGGTGGAGCACAAGAGCGTCATCGCCCGGCTCAACGAGCAGATCGTCAACCTCAAGCGCGAGAAGCCCCTCGCTCTCACCTACACCAGCCACGAACCCCTCTACCCCTACCACCACCCCAGCAACGGATTCGCCTCACACGCACACCCACACCAACAACATGACAACGTCGCCCCGCTCAACGACCACACACAACCGCCAGCTGCAGCAGCAGCAGCAGCCTCCTCAGCATCACAGCTACAGCCGCCCTTGCGCTATCCTCAGATACAGTTCCCATCCACCACCAGTGGGGCCACTGGAGACGCCGGTCCTTTGGCAGGGTATGCACCACTGAGTGCTGCTGAGGAGCCACAGCCATCGCACGCAGCTGCCGTGAGAGACAAGAGGAGCAAGGCTGACCACCACCCCCACCAGAAGTCAGTGTATGTGGCGCATCCGGGCGACCGTCTGGACGAGATGGTGGCTGAATACGTCAACACCACACAGATAGAGTGAGTGAGTGACGCACTCACTGGTGTTGTCCCTTCCCATGGAGAGGAGAGGGCTGGCACACACGTGACGATGTGGTATGGTCTGTTATGGTATGGTTGGGTGTGTGTGTGTCGTTCGTTCGTTTGTGTCATTCATGCAGTCGATCCGTGCCCATTCGTCGCATCGACGAGGGCCTCTACATCATTGGCACCAGGCGGGTCTCGTGCAAGATACTCAATGGACAGCTAATGGGTGAGTACAGGCAAGCCGACATACGACCAGAAGAGAGAGCTGTCTGTCTAGTCCATGAGTGAGTGCATCATCTGGGTGCAGTTCGTGTGGGGGGTGGCATAATGAGCCTGGCCGACTTCGTGTCATCGGAGCGGGCCAACGTGCGGGCTAATCCGGGGGCCGTCCTCGCCCTGCCCTCCTCAGCATCCTCGCACCACTCGCCAACACACACACGGGGCGCCATCGCTGCCAATCGCTTCTCA